AGTGTTTCAAGCCGCCCCCGCCGCCGCCGCTCACAGCTTGTCATGCAGCATTACAGTCGTAAATTGGCGAAAGTAAGGGGAAAGGGAGGGTCCGGGTTCAGGGTGGGGGGCTGTGTGTGTGTGTGTGTGTGTGTTGGTGTGCGTGTGAGTGTGTATTTATTTTAGGGGGGTAGTGAGAGACGTGTCGTGGGAAGGAGCCATGGTTTGTTACATACAACCAGCACTCTAAATCTTTTACAAAGAAATTGTAAGTACAATGCAAAAAATTCTGTGCAATCGTAATATACATGAAATTCTCTTGTATTACACAAAAGTTTTCTTTGTGTTACAATGACTTTTCTTTGTATTACAAAGAAAATTTGGCTTAGTATTACGGTTGCACAAAATTCTTTGTAATACAAGAATTTTCTTTGTAGGAATTTAAGAGTGAGGGATCAGACTATTTCGAGAAGTAAATCACATCTTTCTGCTATCCACGAGGACGAGGCAAGAAAACAGTTAAAACATAATAAGCAAATTGCAAGAGAAAACGAAGCGCGCGTGTGCGCAAAACAGTAAAAATAGGTCGCCCGCTTGGACGATGAGTCTTGAATGGCACAACACGTAATATGATGACAAAACAATAAACGACACGAATACGACGTCACGGGACCACGTTTCCGTCCCCGCGGGCAACTCTGGCCCGGAGTGAGAGCGACGGAGCTGCGTGCGGCGAGCGTTAGTGCGAGCGAGAGGTCGAGAGGTCCCACCTCGGGGCCCGATCGTCGTCTGCTCTGTGAGATCCCCCCTGGCCGATGGAATCTCTGAAAAGAAATAACGATTTTCACGTGCTATCTTCACTGGGAAAAAAATGCTCGTAAATTTACAACCTTTGTTATTGTTTTTATTTGACAAAATATGTTTGAAAATTTCGAGACCGCCCATTATTCTTGCTTGTTTATCAATTATTCCCAACCGATACAAAGTACTTGTAAAATCATAATTACCATATTTTTTCCCCGAAGCCCTTTGGCTATATTTCTCACAGTCAAATGGGCCTGCACTAAAGATTGCGCATGGCGTGTTCCTGGAACGTGCAACCTGCTCATACACTTTGGTGATTTCCTCCCTCGAGCCTGCACCGTCACTATGTGCGGAGAGAAGTTAAACGCTCCGTCGTGGTGGATGGAGACGGCCCAGGTGTTCCGCAGCGCGCCGCTCGGCAGACACGCGCTCAGTTTAACTCATTTGCAAAAATTAGGGCCCGCCCGAGCTCTGCTCGTCCGGATGCTGCTCGGGCGCTTAAGGCTTAAGGCTCCGCGAAGGAGCGGGTGCACGGGCAGAAATAAAATCGCATCTAAGATTTATTTATTATTGTTGTAGTTGTAGTTGTTGTTTTCGTTATCTCACGCGCATACTAGCATGATACTAGAAATATACACTGAAACAACAACAACAACAAATGGGTGACTTTATATAGCTTATGGAAAGACAAAAGGCGTTTGCTACGCGGTTGCTACAGAAATGATAACATTCATGCAATTGTAAAGGCACTAAAAGTCGACGTTAAAGTTATAAAAATGAGTTTTACTGCCTCTCTAAGGGCGCCAACCTCTTGACCTCTTCTTTGTGTAGACGAGACTTCACATACTGTTGTATTTTACAGTGTATCGATGAATTGACGGGCGATTTGTCGAGAGGACCGTCACGATTCTGTCCATGTCGACCTTCCGACGAGTCTCTGCGAAATCACTGCGATCCCCGTTTGGCAACGAGAGGTGCTCAGCTCAGCCTTCCTTTGCCCATCAACTTTGCGACGCTCCTGAGTGCGCTCTCAACTACTTTGTCCGCGAACTGCTCAGCGTGTCCAGGCCGGCTTCGAAATTGTCCCCAGTCGGCGCCTACATGAAAAAGGCCAAAATGAAAGCAGAGCTACGTTCGGTAATTTTGCTTCCTTTTTTTTAAAGTAAAAAAGTTAGGGATTTTACAGAAAGTACGCGTCCGTCAGTCACCATTACGAACCTGCCGAGTGCAGCCTGTGCACGCTCTCTAGCGCCTGCTAGGTGGGCAAAGTATCACCTGCAATGCATGCGTGTGCTGCGGGCTGGTCTACCCTGAGCCTGGCAGGCGCCGAGAGCGCCGAGCCCCCCTAATTTGCTGATTGCTTCTGAGAAAAGTGGGGCGTACTTTCTTCTAAACGATCCATAAACTGGGTGAACAGGATGGCGGCGACGGTGGCACGCGCTCTCCTGCTGTACAGTACTGCATCTGTTAGGAAGGGTCAGCGCGGGTAAATATGAGACGCGGGGAAGAATGGCGAAAGCATATATTAAATAGAAGCTGCAACAATTCGTAAATTTCGAGTCAACACCTGCGTTTGACTCAACTTTAAGCACTTATTTAGACCAAGAACATTTTAATTATGTTTGATGTTTGTCGATTATGAGAAAAGTGGTGTCACTTCTATCCCCGCGTTTCATTTTTACCTGCCGCTCTGACCCAACGGAACGACATTTCCGTTTGGCTAGCATAACTTTCTTATTGAATTACGATCCATATCGTAAATTTAATTACACGATACAATCAACAATTTACGACAATAAGCTTGTTCTCCTGGGTGGTGACGTGCTGACACTTTTTTTTTGACGGGGTGGCGGGTCTTGGTCGTCGTCTACTTAACCCCGCCCCCAGCGCAGCCCTTTAGCGCCCCCCCCC